GTTAACCAACGTTTCAGAGGTCATACTGCCTCCGTCATCAGAGTATGAAGATTTCTGTCTTCTGGGTTGTTGCGCCGTGTAGTCTGGTTGATGTTAACCGTTTCTGAGGTCATACTGCCTCAGTCATCAGGGCGATTCATCATTCAATCGTTGGTAAACATCTAACATACTACACAGCGCAACAACCCAGAAGACGGAAATCTTCATGCTCACCGCTGTGAGAACCTCAAATCTTACACATACAGTAGTTGGAACGAATATGTGCACTCAACGCCCATTGGAAATTAAAGGCAAGGAATCAGAGGGTGTTGAAGGGGTCGCAGATAAGTAAGCATATACTGTCCATGCAATAAATATTTCCCAGCTGCAGTACATTGTAGCTGGATGTCGAGTTTCCATGGTGGTAATGTCTTTGGTGTACGTAATAGGATGAGTTTGTTTTCCTTCTGACCACACGATAGTAAAGCAGGCGAAACGCACGGATTCTTCCCGGCCACTATAAATCTTGTGCATTATGTGGATCTACGTATGACAAGAAGAAGAAGTTATATATGGAACTTCTGTGAATGTGTTATAATGAGCAGTGACTGTAGAAAAATTATTACTGCCCTTTTGCGGGAAAACTTGACACCGTACTTCGTGCAAACTTTTACTGAAACAAGTTTGTTCTTTGAAGAAGGACGTGTGAGTGATGTGAGTGACTATGCCTTCCAGGATGGGTTCAGAATTAATCTCTTCCAGCTTCTGTGCGAGCTGGGTAGCTCTAGATTAAATTGACAATAAATATGAGGGTCTACTTTAAAAAGCCCCTGCACAATGGTCAGATAAAGCCTCGTAACATCTGATTCCCATTTTCCAGAAAGCACACCCAATCTCCATTGAACATATTTGTTGGTTAATGTTAATAGGAAGTAGGAGTGATAACCACTTGACAACAACGACAATCGGTATCAGCAAAATAGATCTACAGTTTTAACTTCAGTTTAAATCAGCCTTCCAGCTGTAACTGGAAACAGCACTTTGCGGTGCGTAAGGGAAACCAAATTTATGATAAGGCTGCAGGACCTGTGTTCGATTTCCGATGTAGTACTGTGTCACCATGCATGAGGAAAAATAGCTGATACAACCACCTCACAACCATAATATTATGTAACTCACAGTAGGCCAATACGCCACACTGAGAGCTACTGCAGTTCTTCTGTAAGCCATCTCGCCACAAAACAAGCTCCACAGGAACAGTCTAAGCTAATTAGACCCGTCTACCAAGAACAATGCGACTGGAGACGAGAACACAAAGCAACGTCAAAACGACGTGTGCAGTTGGTTTACACAGCACACACGTGGACAGACGCTTTCCGGACTTAGCTGTGTCCGCAAGTTGGAACTTACCAACCAACATCATCACATAGTTACTTAGTTGAACGGCTAATAGTCGCTCAGCTCGTCAATATATTCCCCGCCATTTATGAATCCCGTATGTTAATTATCGCCACTAGATAGTAACTGAGAAAGTTGAATCCCACTCTATTCCTTTGAGATACATTTTAATACTTTCCTTTTGTGTTTTTAAACCAGAAAGTTGTGTTAATTTCTAGTAGCTCCAATGAGTGATACAGATGCAGCTAATGTCTTAACAATTTCATTTAATTTCCACCACAATACTGAGTTAAGAATACAAATTATAAAGCTCCTCACTATGTAATTATCTCCGGCCATTTCATACTGCATCTATCTTCGGTTCAAATATTTTCCTCGGCGTATTGTTCCCAGACATCCTCTGTTTTTCAGTTTCTGTCAGAGTGATTTATTCTATTGTCCTGTTCAGTTCTTGTAACTAATTTAATCTGAAAGTAATCCTCATGGCACCTCACTGATTTAGGAACAAATAGGTGGGTTATACAACGAAGTGTGGTTCTTTGGAGATGAAATTTAATTCAAGACTAGAATACGCCTTCCCTTGACATTTAAAAGGGTACATAGATAACTACAAATTTAATGAATATAAAGGGCAAGGAGATTAAGCTTCAGAAATTATTAGAATTGAACTGCATGTCCAGCTTTACGCCCCTGCCGTCTTTATCTACGCGGTTCCCTTTCGCCATTAGATATGGTGGTCCCAATGCAGCTCTGTTTGCAATGCACGTGGCCTATATGATGCCTGCCTTTAAATCTCGTGAAAGCAGGCAGACCGCATAAGATGGCACGGGTGAAGTGTGCAAGGAATTCAATGAGGCTCTTTGCTCCATTGGAGACCAAAGGTTCCAATCCACACGACTCAGAGGATTGTCCAGGAAATCCACACTTCCTACAGGATTCGTATTGTCTGTACAGATCATTTCCAACATTTTGGAATACAATTTTCGTCAAAAACACCAAATTAACACGTAATTTCATTAGATCCCATATCCCGTGATTTTGTTGTTAAGGCAAAATAGATTTAAACACAACTCATCACTTATTACTGATACTAATTTACAAGTGGTTGTGTAATGCGCAATTAAATTGTCAATACTGTACTCTGTAAAACCGGTATTCAGGTGTTGATTACGCTCTAGCGTCAGCGAAGGGCAGCTTATGCGCCAATCTATAGCTGCCTGTCTGTCTATCTGTCTGTCCTGATTCGTCTAGGAACGATACAACCCACATATCATTGGGCCACTGTTGGAACACAACATTATCCTCGGGACACACTGCAAACAATAACCTTGGGTAACATTATTTAATTTGTTATTACTTTCTAAAAATTGTTATCTAAGTCCACATTTCCTTTCAACCATGATTGGCCTTCTTCAGGTTTCTGTACAACTAGTTTCTTTTTCGGGATTGGGTTGTAAACCCCACAGTTGAGGGCTGGTCCTACATGTTGGGAGTTGGA